CGAGGACTCCATAGGCAAAAATGCCTTTAGCTTTCTCCTTGCCCTGGAGTCTGAGCAGAAGGGTGGGGGCAGGAGGCTTGTGGGCCCCTTCGGGGCATGATGACAGTTTTTTTCCACTCCTGGTTGGTGGGTCTCTAGACTATAGGTCCATACCGCCTCTCCCAGAACATGCTGGGATTGTAGTCCTGCAGCTACGCAACCCACCAACTGGGAACCAGGCAGATGCCATTGTTCTCAGGAAGTCCTGTAAAGGGCCCCTTCACAGTCCTTACCACATTCCGGAGCTGGGAGTAATCTCAACATTTTCTTGCCTCCTGCAGCCCACGTCTGATTGCATGTCCTGTCACTCAACACCAGATGGTCTGGAGTTTTATCCAATCAGCTGATGCTGGAGTTTGAAATGGCCAATCAGACAGGAGCCGGAAGTGAGGGGGCAGCTTCCAGGCTCTTACCAGGCCTTAGTGTTCTCCATCAGCCTCTCTTTCTTCATTTTAGCCTGTGCTGCCCTGTGACATGCAGGTCCTAGAACAGGGGTCCTCAAACTTTTAAAACGGGGCCAGTTCAGTGTCCCTCAGACCGTTGGAGGGGCGGACCATAGTTTACAAAAAAAAACTATGAACAGATTCCTATGCACACTGCACATATCTTATTTTGAAGTGAAGAAACAAAATGGGAACAAATACAATATTTAAAATGAAGAATAAGGAAAGTTAAATCAACAAACTTACCAGTATTTCAGTGAGAACTATGGGCCTGCTGTTGGCTAATGAGAGGGTTAATGTCCAGTTCCATATTTGTCACGGCTAGTTGTAACAACTTAAGGGGGCAAAAACACCCGGCGGGCCGCATGTGGCCCACGGGCCCTAGTTTGAGGACCCCTGTCCTAGAAGATTCATAGGGTGGATGCTGAGACACTTGGAAGGTGGCAGATGGTGAGTGTGGGGATATCCCAAGAAAGGGAGTGGGGATGGACCTGGATGTCCTGGCTCTTTAGGGACTGGCCTCTCCATCAGCTCGGAGCTTGTGACTCGGTCTGGTCTCCTCCGTGTAGGTGGTCCTGGGCCAGGACCCTGTGGTCTTGACCCTGCAGCGACATTGCCTGCTGAGCACTCTCCGTGCAGCTCACCACCCCCGAGTGTGCGGAACCCACGAAGGTCATGGAAAAGATCTGACCTGCATGGGGGCTGGTGGGGGGAAGGGGAGGCTATGATCCTGGCCAACTCCCTCTCTCCTCCCTAGAGTTAAACGGTGGCTCCAACGTTAAGGAGACCTCTTGGCCAATAGCAGTTCTTCAGTCCAAAAACCCCAGCAAGGATATGTGGTGTCGGGATCCCGGAGGGCCGGAAAGGCTTTGAGAAGGGGCAAGGGGAAGCTGGGATGGGCAAGTGCTGCTGAGTGACAGTCCTGCAGTGGCCTTACCTGAATTATCTAGGTGGAACTCTCCAGTGTCAGTCATTAGTGTCATTGGCCATTTGTGTCACCCGGTCCAAACCCGGTTTTGACAACATAAGGGGTTGGAGAAGGGATTGTGACTTTATTTGGTAGGGCCATTAAAACCAAGTAAATGAGGGGGATGGCCTCATAAAGACCCCTTCTGTGTCATGTGTTTTTTTGTTTTGTTTTGTTTTTTACTGTGATTACACTTTATTTAGTTATATTTGTTTACAGCTGAAATTCTGGGAAGTCAAAATTAACATCCTTGCCCAGGAGCTTCCTGTAGACACCGGAAAAATTTTCTACCTTGTGCTTCACGTTGTTCTGCTGTGCTTTGTCCAAGTGCACCTTGATGAGCTGGCTGCCGTCCAGCTTCACGCAGATTCTCTTGCCCACAATTTCACTTGGAAAGACCAAGTCCTCAAGGATGGCATCATGCACAGCTGTCATAGTACGGCTGCTGGGATGCTTTTGTTTATATTTTGTGCAGCTTTTTCAGTTGGCTTAGGCAGAATTCTCCTCTGAGCAATAAAGACAACATGCTTCCCATTGTACTTTTTCTCCAATTCACTTACTAGCTACACTTAGATTTTTGAAAAGACTTCATTTGAGGAATGGGAACAAAGATTATGATAACCTTCTGACCACCTCCAGCTTCAAATCCTTGGATGCTGTTATGTTGAGCTCCCTGAGCTGAGCCTTGTGGTCCGAATTCATCTCCAGGATAGCCTGGGAGATGCCACACTTGAACTCATCTCGCTTCTCACCATTGGGCTTCACGATCTTGGCACACAAGCTGAACATGGTCTTCTCCTTGCTTAGCACCAGTTTAAGAAAAGGCCAAAGCCTCGCGAGATCTTGTCAAACTCTGAGCCATGTGTGCTTTTAAAAAAATTTTATCCAGGCTTTGGGACAGAGACGGGCTAAGATCAAGAGGTTCCTTAGACTTGCAGACATCTGGGTGATGAGAGGAGTCATGGACAGTGGTGAATTCTCTCATCCTCGGTTCACAGTCACCTTGTTCCTTTAGTAAAACAGTTACTGCACAAAACAGAGTTACTGCACATACTTACACTTTCCCAGAGTGAGTCTAGAAAGCTGCATACTGGTGCCCACCTTATCTTGTTAGCATTTCAAAATTATTTTAGCTGCATGCAAACACACTAAGAGGCCAGAGATCCCCCCCCCACCCCACCGGTCTAAAATGGAGTTATGTTGAATTTTGAAAGTAGACTGTTGTATTTTGGATTGATTAGGTCTAAGTTTTATATTATTAAATTAGTAACTCTCAGAAACTTTATTTTAGTTCAGTGACTGGTTTCTGTGCACCTTTAGAAACATCACTGTTCTTGAGGGGCAAAGGCAGAATTGATGTCTGTCCTCTGGATTATCTTGCATTTGTAAAGAAGGAAAACTATCCCAAGGGACAAAGTAGACCCACCTCAGGGAGATGGTGGAAGAATTAACAAATCAAACAGAACCTCAGGCAAACAGGAGAGCAAGTGAGGGGCTCCAAAGAGGGTGGTAAGATTGTGACAAATTAAATATATTCCATTTAATTTTGAAATAAAGTCATATTTTCTAAATGTAGGTGTGACTATATTAGATAATCTCACCTGAAAAGAAATCCCAGAGATGTAGGAGGAAAAAGAAAAAATGGCTGCTTCTGAGGTAAACGTGTCCCAGATCAGAGGGATTGTCATGTGTGTAAAACTTGCAAACCATCCTCCTGTCCTTTTTATGGTCCTACCTAATGATCTTGTTTCAAATATTTTTGTTCTTCCTGTGATTTTCAATGGATCTGTCGGACACTGCTCCCTACAAAACCTCTTCTGTTCTCTTCAACCATACAGTTTAGTTGTCATAAAGTGTTCTCACCACGAATGTAGGACCTGCATTATTAAAAATGTTCCCTTGTTACTGGGGGTCATAGGAAGGCATGGTAACCAAGAATCCCATTGGAGATTGGATAGATCCTCAGAACCTAATGAAGGATAGAAACATGTGTATGTAGTCTTCCTCTGTTGTCCAGAATGAAATGCACTGGCACACTCATGGCCACCGGAGCCCAGTTAATTTTTAACTTTATTGTAGAGATGAGGTCTTGCCAAGTTGCCCAGGCTGGTCTCACACTCAAGGGTTTAGGAAATTATTTTGCATGGCCTTCCAACGTGCTGGGTTTATAGGCATGAGCCTCTGCTCCTACCTAGAACATGTACTGTTAAGGTTCTGTCTAGATACTCCATCAGCTCCATGCAGAACACAGTTAATAAAGTGTACATTTAAATAGGATGGAAGTTACTGCCCAAAATAACTTTGGAAAGTCTGAATAAAGAATAATTAGAAGAGACTTGCTCTCTAGGATGCCAAAAACTAAAAATATAAATAAACTTTCAGAGATTGCATGCCATGGGAGCTACCTGTAGGCTGATTTCTGTGTAACATGAGCTTGCTTGTTATTAAATTGAGATTATAAATTACTATATTGGATAGGTGTGGTGACTTAGTGTGTAATCCCAGCACTTTGGAAGGCTGAGGCAAGAAACTTGCCTAAGCCTGTGTTTTGAGAACAGTTTGGGGATTTATGAGACCTTGTCTCTACAGTAAATTATAAAAACTAGCCAGGCATGATTGCATGTGTGTGTAGTTCTAGATACTGGGAAGGCTGAGGCACAAGGATTGCCTAAGTCCACCAGGTGGAGACAGCAGTGGCCATGAGCATACCACTGCACTCCAGCCTGGGCGAGAAGAGTGAGACTCCAACTCAAAAAGTAATAATAAATTAGTATAGCTTTGGCAAAAAGATCTCAGCACGGATGTTGTGTTCCACCTGTGTGCCTTGAGGTAAGAAATGAATTTGTCCCAAATGCTTGGGATGCTATGGGGGATGGATTCTTTTAACCAAGGAGATTGAGACTACAATAAGGTGTGATTATGCCAGGGCACCCTAGCCTGGTTCAGAATGACATGCACCTAGCCGGGCGTAGTAGTGCACGCCCATAGTTCCAGCTACTTGGAAGGCCGAGGTGGAAGGATTGCCAAAGCCCAGCAGGTCGAGGCTCTGGTGGCAGGGAGCAACCACTGCATTCCAGTCTGTGTGAGAGTGAGACTCCAACTCAAAAAAAAAGAGAAAAGAATGAGACACTCGAACCGAACAAAAAAGCGCAGAACCACAGGCTAAATCTATGTATTCTGAATCAGAATTTGCATTTTAACAAGATATTCAATTCATTGTTGTACAAATTAAAACTTGATGAGGATCTTCTGACTTAGTAGGAGCAGTATATGTAACATATTCTGTGTGATATAATCAGTAATTTAAAATGTACATGCCTGTGTTTCCATTTTATGCTGTTTCACTCACAAAAATAGAGAGTCTACACTTACTGAGTGGATTTTATTTCATCCTTTTTTCCCACACTTAATTCATTAGAGGATAATTCTGTATTATGAATTTTTTTATTGCATAACAGTAGTTGTCTTGTCAGCTGGACCCTGTTCTTTTCACTCTTGCTTTACCGAGAGGCCATGGTGACTTGGTAAATATGTGTTTTTGTTGTTTTCAGGGGTTGTTGTCATTCAAGGATGTGGCCATAGAATTCTCTTCAGAGGAGTGGGAATGCCTAGACTCCCCTCAGCGAATATTGTACAGGACTGTGATGTTAGAGAACCATAGAAACCTGGTTTTTCTAGGTGAGTCAACTTTCAAAACACAATCCCTATTTCATACTAAGGATTTTATGTCCTTTCTTCGTAGAATGTTTTTTGGTAATTTCTGCTTTGCATGAATGAGATTCAGATTCCTACTATCAATGAAAAGCTGGTAATATGTTCACATAGAAAATAAAAAAATGATGATGTTTCATTTTGACATGAAGTCTTCTCTATTTTAATTTGACCAGTGTCCTTCTAGCTATATTATTGGTAAGTTCAGAAATTTAGTGGCATAGAGTATTGCCCACATCTGATTCCAATTGCTGCCATAAGTTATTGACTCACTAGTACTGAACTAAGAACTCATAAATTTAAGGCAGGCATGGTGGCTCAGCCATGTAATGCCAGCAGTTTACGAGACTGTGTTGAGAGGACTGCCAGAGCCCATGGGTTCAAGAATAGCCTGGGCAACTTGGCAAGGCTCCATCTCTATAGTAAATCAAAAAATAATCTGGGAGTGGTAATGCACACCTATAGAACTGGTTACTTGGTAGGCTGAGGGAGAAGAATTACCTGAGCCCAATAGGTGAGCACTGGGGTAGCTATGAGCTTTCCCCTGCACTCCAGCCTGGGTGACAGATTGAGACTCCAACTTAGAATAAAAAGAAACTGATAAATTAAAAATTCTGTCTAAATGTTCTAAAGGTTTTATTGGGAAACCATATTTTGTGGTTAATTTTCTAGAATCTTGTATAATGTGTTCTCTACAATCAAATACTATGTTTGTAATCTAAGAACCTTAGCAAGAGTCATGTTACTTTTTTCTAAATAAACAGGACTTGCTGTCTCTAAGCCAGACCTTATTATGTGTCTGGAGCAAAGGAAAGAGACCTGGGATGTGAAGAGAAATGGCACATTAGCCAAACTTCCAGGTAGGTGGGAGTGAATGAAGCAGATGACACAAGTTGAGGAATCAGAGGTTGAGATGTGGTTTGGGAAGGTGGTCTGCTCAAGGGGAAATGGTTTCTATAAAACCTGGGATTCTTTCTCTTCCTGTCACAAAGGGACATCTGTTATTCCATGTTCAGAAATTCTCCAAAAACTCTGCTTCTTCAATGATCTTTCAAGTTTACAGAGGAAATCAAAATCCACTTAATGGTTTGTTAGGAACTGCATGATCTGACTATCTTTCTGATGCTTTAGAGACATGCAAGTATTTGCTTATTTATTTGACAATCTGTCCAACTATTTTTTATGTTTTCTTTTTGCATCATGGTTGGAAGTATGTAAGCAGTGATTTTGTTTCTGTTTGAGAAATTTTAAGAACACTCTGGATACATGTTACATATTTTCTAATTTATGATTGTCCATACTAGGGGGACTTCCAATGATTTTATTTAAATTCATACTCAATAGTCCTACCTCAATACAAATTATCTCTCTTAATAGAAGAAATTCTAGCCAGACTCAGTGGCTCAGCTTGTAATCCTGTGCCTTTGGGAGGTTGAGGTGAGTGGATTGCCTGAGCCTGTGGGTTCGAGACCCACCTGGGCAACTTGGTGAGACCTCATCTCTACAATAAATCAAAATGAGGCAGGAGTGGTAGCGTGTGCCTGTAGTTAGGAAGACTGAGGCAGAAGGATTGCTGGAGTGCAGCAGGTCGAGGCTGCGGTGGCCGGGAGCAGCCACTGCACTCCAGTCTGATGACAGAGTGAGACTCCAACTCAAAAATAAAACTAGAAGAAATTCTGATATTTTACTTACATTTTACTTTTGTAGTATGATCTGAGACTGGTAGTTTTTTCTTTATATCCAAATACTTAAGTACACTATATTGTGTACGGATTGGTAAACATATATTAAACTCCTAAATGTTACCTTGTGTCTTAATAACTCTTATTTTATAATTTTATTTAGTATGAAGCTTAGGACTAGTTTCAAGTATGCATATATTCAAACACACGTATGTATGTTTATGTGTGATTAGCATCAGATTTTTATACATAAATAAAAATGTATAACCATGTGTTGTAAATAATGTAATAATTTGATATGCCTATACAGTGTGAAATGATGATTACAATTATATTAATGAACATATTAACATCTTATATACTTGTCATTTTTATGTTTTGTAAGGGGAACACATAATGTCTTCTATTTTAGCAAATTTTCTAAGCATTAGACAAATTTTCATTATTTCATTATTAACGATAAGTCACTATGGTATACATTAGTTCCCTAAGAATCAGTTATAACTCAAATTTTGCAACCACTGAGAAACATCTCCATTTTCCCACCTGTAGGCCCTGGTGACCATGTTGTTCTTTCTTCCTCTATGAGTGCAAAGTTTTTTGATTCCACAGGAGTGAGATCATACAGAATTTTTTTTTCCCCGAGTTGGAGTCACACTCAAGGCTGGAATGCAGTGGCATGCTAATGACCACCACAGCCTCATTGCTGGACTGGCAATCCTTCCATATCAGCCTTTCAAGTAACTGGAACTACAAGCATGCACTGCCACACCAAGCTTATTCTTCTATTTGTCATTGACCCGTGGTCTCTCCCAGGTGCTCAGACAGGTCTTGAACCTCTAAGCTAAGGCAATCCTTTCACCTCAGTCTCCCAATATGATGGGTTTACAGACTTGAGCCACTGTACCCGTTCTCACACAGCATTTGTGTGTGTGTGAGCCTGGTCACTTCAGTTAGCATAATGTCTTACAATGTCATCCATAAGGTTAAAATTCTAGAATTATCTGAAAAATTTTTTGACAGAAACATATGCTATTGTGCATATATACGTGTGTGTGTGCGCACGCATGTGTGTGTGTATGTGTGTGTAATGTTATTTTCTTAATCAACACAGATTCCACAAATATTTAGGTTGTTTTCAAGCTTGGCCATCTTGACAAATGTTGCAATTCCCATAGGGGTTGGAGACTTCTTTTTGATACTGATTTTATTTCCTTTGGTTATATGCCCAGAAAAGGGATTTCTGTGTTATGTGGCTTATTTTTAAAGAATGTTGATAATAATTTTTCTATGACTCTACCAATTTTAAACTCACCAAGAGTATACAGGATTTCTTTTACTTCACATCCTTATGAAAAGTTCTCTCTCTCTTCTGATTGATATTAACCATTCTAACAGCTGTGAGACAATATGTCATCATTGTGTTTTTTTGAAATTGCCTCTATTGGTGATGTTCAGTGCCAATTCAAATACCTGTTGTCAATCTGTATGTCCTCATTGGAAAATAAGTATTCATTTCTGAGCTGTTTTTTATTCAAGTGAGTATCATTTTCTTTCTTTAACATCTCATCAAGTCTATGGTTTGCAGATGTTTTTTCTTGTCCTGTAATCCTTCTTCCTTTTCCCTTTACTCTGCAGAAGCTTTTCCATTTGATGTCTGCAACTTGTTTATAGTTTTTTAATCATAAAGAAATTATTACTAAGACCAATATCAATATCAAGGATGTTTTCCAAATCCTTTTTATGGTTACATTTTATCAGCATGTTCTCTGTCACCCAGGCAGTAGTGTGGTGATTCAAGTAAGGGTTTCTACATTTCATATAAAAATTTCTCAAACTTTTTTGTAAATTGCAGCTCCACAAATTATTTTTGTACCCTTAATTGAGTCATTTATCCTGATTCTTTCTACACTTTGGCACACTTTGTTTGAATTGGAGTATTTGAAATTCAAAGATAAACACGTAATAATGTTTATGATGTTGCTTTGTCTAGACTTATATAACAATAATCACTAAGTTAGAGATTCTAGGAGACTCATACCTGTTCTTAGGATGTGTCTCCTCTGTGTGTTGGAACAGAAACAGTCTTTGTATAAACCCTCAAAGGACAGAAATGTGGACTCATATTCCACTCTTCTGTTATTCCCTGAGGAAGAATTGAAGAGTGAGAAGATGCCATCTCATTGCATGATGCTGTATTTTAAGGAAGGGAAATTATGGTGGCAAAATTACTAAACTTTCTCTTCCATGTAACTCATTTTATCATGTGGATTCTGCAAAGTATTAGCTGTTTTTTGAGTTCTCACACAGGCAATGGGGTAAGTATTTTCTTAAGTACATATATTTATGATGGAGTGGAAACCTGTGATTTGTACTTGTCATCATACTTATGTCCTTACCATGGTATCATATTATGTTTTATTTTCAAAGGATATTCACCTGAGTCTAGCACAGAGAGTAAATTTTTATTTTCATCATTTTCAGCTGTGACTTCATATTATACTGATGGCCTTTTGCCAGAGAAGAGCATAGAAGACTCACTTAGAAAGGTGCCAATGGGAAATTATGGTAAATATGTCCTTAACAACTTATGGTTACAAAAATCTTGAGTAACTGTGCAGGAGGTTGAAGGGCAGATAGAATGTTCAGTTGCAAATAACCATTACAAATGCAATAAGAGTAGGAAAGCCTTTCTTTTTTTTTTGAGTTGGAGTGCAGTGGCCTCTCCCAGCCACTGCAGCCTCCTCCTGCTGGGCTCTGGTGATCCTTCCACCTCAGCCTTCCATGTAGCCAGAATTACAGGCATGAGCTACCACGTCCAGCTGATTTTTTGATTTATTGTAGAGATGAGATCTCACTCTCTATGTGGGTCTCAAACCACAGGTTCAGACAATCCACTCACCTGAGCCTCCCAAAGGCACGGGATTACTGACTGAGCCTCCGAGTCCAGCTTGGAAAGCCTTTCATCAACACTCCAAATATGTTATCCACCAGAGTATTCTTATTTCTGAAATGGCTTTCAAACACAAATATAACTGAATGTTTAACTGGTCCTCAAAATATAGTCAACATCAAAAGAATAGTGGAGGAAATATACACAATATATTTGGGAAAGTGTTTAAGAAATCATCCTCTCTAAATAGACATGAAAGAATCATAGGGGAGAGAGAGACTTCATCGTTCACATATTACTCAACATACAGTGAGCCATACAGGACAGAAACTCTACAAATGTGAAGAATGTGGCAAAGCCTTTCACTCTTGTTCACATCTTAGTTGACATACAATGATCCATACTAGAGTGAGACACTACAAATGTAAAGAATGTGGCAAAGCTTTTCACTCTCATTCAAATCTACTCAACATGCAGTGATCCATACTGGAAAGAAACCCTACAAATATGAAGAATGTGGCAAAATCTTTAAGTTTCATTCACTCCTTACTGGACATATGATGATCCATACTGGAGAGAAACCCTACAAATGTGAAGAATCTGGCAAAGTCTTTCACATCCGATCACTCCTTACTCGACATACAATGATCCATACTGGAGAGAAACCCTACAAATGTGCAGAATGTGGCAAAGACTTTCAAATTCATTCACGCTTTACTCAACATATGATGATGCATACTAGAGAGAAACCCTATAAATGTGAAGAATGTGGCAAAGCCTTTCACATTCGTTCACTACTTACTCGACATACGATAATCCATACTGGAGAGAAACCCTACAAATGTGCAGAATGTGGCAAAGCCTTTAACTGTCGTTCACATCTTAGTCGACATACAGTGATCCATACTGGAGAGAAATCCTACAAATGTGAAGAATGTGGCAAAGCCTTTAACACTCGTTCAAACCTTACTCAACATACAATGATCCATACTGGAGATAAACCCTACAAATGTAAAGAATGTGACAAAACCTTTAACTCTCGTTCATACCTTATTCAACATACAATGATCCATACTGGAGAGAAACCCTACAAATGTAAAGAATGTGAAAAAGCCTTTAACTCTCGTTCATACCTTATTCAACATACAATGATCCATACTGGAGAGAAACCCTACAAATGTAAAGAATGTGACAAAGCCTTTAACTCTCGTTCATACCTTATTCAACATACAATGATCCATACTGGATAGAAACCCTACAAATGTGCAGAGTGTGGCAAAGTCTTTAACACTAGTTCACATCTTACTCAACATACAGTGATCCATACTGGAGAGAAACCCTACAAATGTGCAGAATGTGGCAAACCCTTTACCTCTTGTTCACATCTTACTTGACATACAGTGATCCATACTGGAGAGGAAACCCTATAAATGTATAGGGTGTGGCAAAGACTTTCACTCTCATTCAAACCTTAATCAACATACAGTGATTCATAATGGAGAGAAACCCTACAAATCTGAAGAATGTGGCAAAGCCTTTCTCTCTCATTCACAACTTAATATACAATGATCCATACTGAAGAGAAACTCTACAAATGTGTGTAATATGGCAAGGTCTTTCACTCTCACTCTAGATTTTCTCAACATAAAAACCTGCATACTGGGGAGAAATACAAATGTGAAGAACGTGGCAAAGTCTTTTGCTCCCATTCAAAGCGTGCTGGATATATCAAGGTGAATTGTGGAGAGAAACCCTACAAATGTCAAGAATGTGGTAAAGCCTTTCACTCTCACTTTGGATTTGCTTTTCATAAGACCATCCGTACTGTGGAAAAAACCTGCAAATATGAAGCATGTGGCCAAGCCTTTTGCTCCTATTCAATGCTTACTGGATGTATCAAAGTGCATACTGGGGAGAAAACATAAGTGTGAAGAATGTGGAAATGCTTTTTGCTCTCACAATGGATTTGCTGGACATAACACAATCCATACTGGAGAGAAACTCTAAAAATGTGAAATATATTGAAAAGCTTTTCACTCATTCAATACTTGCTCAACATGGCAAGATGCATACTATTGAGAAACCCTACAAATGTGAAAAGTGTGGCACAGCTTTTTGTACTCATGGAGGATTTGCTGGACATAAGACCATCGATACTGGAGAGAAACTGTACAAATGTGAAGAGTGTGGCAAAGCCTTTTATTCTTAAGGATTTGCTGGACATAAGACCATCCATACTGGGGAGAAATTGTACAAATGTGAAGAGTGTGGCAAAGCCTTTCACTCCATTAAGGATTTGCTGTACATAAGACCATCCATACTGGAAAGAAAACCTACAAGTGTAAAGAATATGGGAAAACCTTTCACTCTCACAATGGATTTGCTGGACACATGACCATCCATGCTGGAGAAAAACACTAAAAATGTTAAATATGCAGAAAAGCTTTTGACTCTCACTACTTGCTTGACATGTCAAGATCCATTCTGTTGAGAAACCTTACAAATGTGAAAAGTGTGGCAAAACTTTTCACACTCATAAAGGATTTGCTAAACACAAGACCATCTGTAGTGGAGAGCAATCCTACAAACATGATGAATGTGGCAAAGCCTTTTGCTCTCAAATGATTTGCTATACATATGAGGCGCCATACTGGAGAGAAACTTTACAAACGTGAAAGATGTGGCAAAGTCTTTTACTCTCATAAAGTATTTACTGAAGTTAAGTCAGTTGATACTGGAGAAAAACCCTACAAATGTGAAGAATGTGACATACCCATTCACTCTCACAACAGATTTACTGGACACATAATCATCCATACTGGAGAGAAACTCTACAAATGTGAAAAACATGGTAAGTCCTTTGCTCTCATATACAACTAGCTGGACATTTGAGAATCCATACTGAGATGAAAGTATATAAATGAGAGGAATGAGATAAAGCCTTTAGCTTTCATTCAATATTTGGTTGACATATGAGCATCTATATTTAGGGATTCCCTATAGATGGGCAGAATGAAGTAAACTTTTTCACTGTTATTACAAGTTTTCTCAACATCAGACAATTTATACTTTAAATTGTCAGTATCTGTAATGACTGGAAAATCATATATCTAGTTATAAACAATAGAGACATGGTGAGAAATTTACATATGTAAAGAGCACCATTACCTTTTTTTTTTTTTTTGAGTTTGTGTCTCACTCTGTTTCCCAGACTGGAGTTCAGTGACTGCTCCCGGCCACCGCAGCCTCGACCTGCTGGGCTCCGACGATCCTTCCACCTCAGCCTTCTGAGTAACCGGAATTACAGGCTGAGCTACCAAGCTTGACTAACAACATTATCTTTACTCAAACTACAGATCTTTTGAATGTACAAATGTAAAACATGTCTGAAGACACTAACCAGCAAATACTTTATTTGACATTAGACCGTGCATTGTAGAGACTCTACAGATTTAAAGAATGTGGACTGGCCTTTGTTCAAAATATATGCCATTGGAAATACTAGGGTATTCGGACTGAACACTTTACGGATGCAATTTATATGGAAGCTTAGTTACTGAAAGGTCAAGTTGAAATAAATATCAAATATTGAGTGGCATTAGAAGATTTTTTTTGTTGTTTTTTAGGAAAGCATAAGTATATTCTCTGTTTAGTTTTGGTTTTGCATTGACAGTATGAGGATATTTTGAAAAGCAAACAATATTGATGTAACTCAGCTCACATGATGCTATGCCTTCATTCATAGTGTTTATGTAAAGGCATGGGGTCAGTTGTTGGTATGTTAGAGCTATGGAATGTCTTTGTATAGTAGGTCATCAGCACTCATCTCATGTTTTTCATGGAGGAGGAAGAAAACTGATACATAATCTCCTTTAAAAGATTGAAGTGAAGAGGTTTTTTCTGGCTCACATTAAGCATTATTGTAAGTTCAGAATGAGGTGAGTGCGCAGGATAACATTTTACTTTGGAAATAAATGACAAAGAATCATTGAGAGTTTTAGAAATCATTTGTCTTACTACTTACATGCAAATGAGAAAATGAAGCCAGAACATTAATATCTTGATGCATCTTCATACTATCAATACTTACAAGCCATAAGTGTAATTTCATATAATATAAAGAATTATTTTCATAGACATCAGAGCAAAGATAATTACTCTCTTAAAATATGTGTATTATAAGTTTATGTTTAGTAAATAATCAGATTCAGTTTTTAAAACTGAAGAAAGGTGTTTGCACATGGATCACTGTAGCAGAAGAACAGAAATGCTTCAATATTAGTACACTGGTTTTGCATAGAGTGAAATGTCAAGGTTTATTTAGGCTATGTAAATTTGTTGGTTTTAATGAACAGAATTGTTTATAAAGCATTAACATTTATTGTTCACACAACAAATTATGTTGCCATAAGTGTTAATCTATTCTATCTTACCCAAGATTGTAGGTATATGATGATCATATACTGTTGAGTAACTTATGGAAGGATGTTTCTAGTGATCTTTTTTTTTTTTGAGTTGGAGTCCCACTCAATCACATAGACTGGGGTGCAGTGGCTGCTCGCAGCCACTGCAGCCTCAACCTGCTAGGATCCAGCAATCCTTCCACCTCAGCCTTCCAAGTAGCTGGAACTGCAGGCGTGTGCTACCACACAGGGCTAATTTTTTGGATTTATTG